CTTACGATAAACATAATGCCCTAAAATATAAAATATTCTCTCCCCCAAAGACTTCAACGCCGTAAACATATTTCATCCAGTTTTTCTCAGTCTTACCCCCATCCCGATGTCAGCCTCATTCTACAACAGTGGCACCATATCGCATTTGTCCCTTTGTGACTGAGATACCTCACTCATCATAATGTCCTCCAGGGTCACCCATTTTGAATAATATTGCATGAGTTCCTTGTTTTTCAATGCAGCATAATATTCCATTGTGCTAATATACCACAGCTTCTCTACCCATTCGTTTGTTGATGGGCATTTGGGTTGTTTCCAACTCCTTGCTATTGTAAAGCCGCAATAAACATGGGTATGCATATATCTACTTGGGTGCCATGTTACATTCTTTTAATTACCATGATTGTAATTTGTTTTGCTGCATGTAGTGAGAGAGCTTTTGCTCTTAACCTATCATCAACATTTATTTGCTCATATGTATTGTGGCACTCTGATGACCCTGTGTTAAGAAGCTGCTCTGTAATCTCAAAGGGATGAGGTTTGAATTCACCAGCTGTTCAATGGAACACAAATGGACAATCTCCTCCCGGGAGATTTACTGTCCCTGAAATCCTGCTGGAGGGTCACTGGTGGGTCCGTTCCAACACAACAGCACACAACAACAATATCTATTATAACCTATTTGTCAAATTTAAATATATTGGGCTGGAATTTTAACTAGCATTTTACTGAATGTCTCATTATTTGGTGGAAAATTGACATGCCTACAAAATTACAATGTTAATCCATTACATGGATATTAATCACAAGAAAATAAAAACTACCTATTAAATGAGATAAGTAGAATTATCTCCTTAAAGGTCTTGGGCATTCTTTGGTGAGTATCTTAGTTACCTAGTACATAAGAACAACAACTGCTATAGCAGAAATACCACAAATTGATGACTTTAAAAATCAAGTATTTATTCTCTCAGCACTTAGGCGGCTTATTGTTGATACTGTTACATACCATTGAGCCAGGACCAACTCACAGGTGACATTCCAATGGGTTTTTAAGACGTTGGAAAGCACATGGGAGGAGAATACTCATCCTTCAACCTCTGAGTAGCTGATGCGTCTGACCACACATCTTTGGGTTGGTAGTGCAGCTCCCTACCCATTAGGCCCCCAGAGCTCCCTTTTAGGAGGCTAGGAGTTCAAATCCAGGGTGAAGGCTCTAAAGAAAGGCTTTCTCTCTGTTGGCTCAGGGAGAAGGTTCTCGTCTCCTTTATCATCTCTAGGCCTGGTGTTCTTTGGAGGGTGCGCATATTATGGCATCCATCTTGCTCCAGGAGGTTCTTCTCAGGGTGGGGATACAGTGTCTCTTTCTTGGGGGTGGTGAGATCTCTTTTCTTTCAGCCTGCTTCTCTTATAAAAAGTGTGAACTTCTTGTAAGGTGATGATTCCCAGTATAGCCTACACTGATCCTGGTTTGTGAACATGTAGAGGTTGGAATTTACAGCACATCACAGACAACTACATCAGACCACAAAAGGGTAGACAACCACATAGTACCAGTTGTCATGCCTTGTCAAGCTGATGCATATATTAGGGGACACCATTCAACCCAGGACTTTGAGCTAATCCCTTAATACTTCAGTGTTACATAATTTACACTCAAACTCATTGCCCTCAAGTCAGAAATGACTCATAGCTGATCATCCAGTGGGTTTTCAGGAGGCTGTAAATCTCACAGGGAATTATTCAACTTTCTCTCAAGGAGCCACTGGTGGATTTGAACTCTCCAAGAAGCTCAGCCTTTGGATGAACAGCCCGACTCCCTGTGAATTATGCCAGTAGAGCTCCCTTTAGTGTTGTATTATCATGTGCCTCTGAGTCAGAATCAACTCATAGCTGACCTTTCAGTGAGTTCTCAGAGGCAGCAAATTGCACCAGTGGAGAGTAACCATCTTTCTTTCACAGAGCAGCTAATGATTTGCACCACATGCCTCTGAGTTAGCAGCACAGCTCTGTACCACTAGGCCACAAAAGTTCCTTATTCACCACAATAAGATAAAGGTAAATAATCCAATAGAAAAATGGGCACAGGATACGAACAGACACTTCACCAAAGAAGACATTCAGATGGCCAACAAGCACATGAAGAAATGTTCCAAATCCCTAGCTCTAAGAGAGATCCAAAACAAAACAACTCTGAGATATCATCTCACCCCAGTCAGAATAGAAAAATTTAACAGAACAGCAAGCAACAAATGCTGGCAAGGTTGTGGAAAAACTGGAACCCTTATTTACGGTTGGTGGGAGTGTAAAATGGTGCAACCACTGTGGAAGGCAGTATGGCACTTTCTCCAAAAGTTGCAAATAGAGATACCATTTGACCCAGCAATTCCACTACTGGGAATATACCCCAAAGAGACCATAACTGACATCCAAGCAGATATATGCACACCCATGTTTATCGCGGCTTTGTTCACAATAGCAAGGAGTTGGAAACAACCTAAGTGCCCATCAGCAAACAAATGGATAGAGAAGCTGTGGTATATTCACACAATGGAATACTATGCTTCACTGAAAAACAAGGAACTCATGCAATATTATTCAAAATGGGTGACCCTGGAGGACATTATGCTGAAATATCTCAGTCACAGGACAAATACTGCATGGTGCCACTGTTGTAAAACAGGACTGACCTCGGGGTTGGGGGGAGACTGAGAAAGAGGGGTTCAATAATGTATACTGCACTGAAACAGATGAGGGAAAGAACTGTTTAAAAGGGATATGTGATTGGGTATTTCTGTCATGACAGGAGTCCAGAGCGAAGCCTGCATAGTGGAGTGGACCTGGGGGGAGGGATTGTATAACAATGAAAGAAATTTTCTTTTACTTTTCCAAGAGGGTAGTGCACTAGCGGGTGGGGGGTTGGGAGGTGAGAAAAGTGCAACATTGAATGAATGGAAATCCAAACAAAGTCTCTGTAAATTTTCATTGAAATTAATATTAAAAAAGAAAAAAGTTCCCTATTGTATAGGGTATCTTATTTTTACTGTATTTTCAAGAAGCATCCACCAAAATTTAATATGTTGATCTCATACAAATAATCCATGGTCAACTTTCTGATTAAGTAGTTTGTTGGGTCTCTTGTTTTTAAATCAATGAGCATTTGACAATAATAGAAAACTTGCCTTTTTTATCTCAGGCCTTCCATGTCACTCATTTTTCTTACCTCATTGTGTTGACCAGTATTTTCAAAGGCCATATTAAATAGTGGTGGGGCTCTGAGGCAACCCTGCCTTCTCTCTTTAACAATGATGAAAAGGTTTGAGGTTTTGCTTGGCGGTTAAAATAGGTGAATGCAATCATTAGAAATTTAATCTTGAAGAAAAACCTAAAAAAGCCCTAAACCCACTGCTTTCAGGCCAATTCCAATTCACGGAGGCTGTAGGACAGAACTGAACTGTCCTATGTGGTTTCCAAGGTCATAACTCTATGAAAGCAACTGCCACATCTTTTTCCCCGGCACAGCTGTTGTTGTTGTTATTATGTGCCATCGAGTCGCTTGCGACTCATAGCGACCCTATGTACAACAGCCCTGAACTCTGCTCTGTCCTGTGCCAATCGCACTGTCTCTGACACTCCCATCCCTATTATCCCAGTCACTGAATCAATACACCTCATAGAGGGCCTTCCCTCCTGCGCTGTCCCTCCACCCTCCGAGGCATGATGTCCTTCTCCAAGGACTGGTCTCTCCTCACAACATGTCCAAAGTATGTTAGACGGAGCCTCAGAATCCTTGCCTCCAAGGAGCCACCCGGTTTAACCCTTTCCAGGACAAATCTGTGGGTTCAAATTGCTCACTTTCTGGCTATCGGCCAACTGGACCACCAGGGTTCTTTCTCCTTGAAGAGAAAACATCTTAAACATACAGGCTGGGTTTAGATGAGACACAGGAAGCAGAAAGCTGAACCCCTGGGTTGCAGGGATCCATATGAGAGATGACGTGGTCCAAAGGGCCTTCGTGACAAAGTGGAGCAGAGAAATTCAGGGAAGGAAAGGGATGAAGAATCTGATAAATTAGATTTAAGGAGTGAGAAGAATGAGGCGTTAGGGTGGAGCCCTGTTCAGGGTTTGCCTATGGGGCCAGATTGAACAGAATATAGTGGGAAGAAGAGGCTGGTTTTCACTTTAGGCATTAGGCACCTGGAGAAAATACCCAGCGACGGATGAACAAATGTCTACGTGGAACAGTTAAAGGTAGTGATCTGACCAGAAAGTAGAACTGTAATTGTCCAAACGTGAGCTCTGGTGGCCTGGTGGTAAGAAGCTGCCCTGCAATCCCAAAGCTGCTCTGTGAGAAAAGGAGGAGCGATCTCCTCTCTTTTGAAAAAGCCCACTAGAAGTCAATCCAAGCAGTATTTCTTAATACACAGATGTGTTAGCCACTGGTATTAATGTCAGGATTATCTTCACAAAGGTGGGCGTTAAAATCAGTTAGTGACGCGTAGCTGGTTGTGGTTGGAGCTCTGGGTTGACACTGGGGAAGGAGGGGCTGAGGTCACAAAGGAGACTTGGCAGGAAGGGTGGAGCTAAGAAGATCAAGTTGTCGAGTTCCAGCGAGAAGGCAGTGGTTCAGCTCAGGATGCACAGGGATGCGGGAGTGAAGATTCCCTTCAGTGAATGTGGGGCTATAGACAGTTCTGTCCGCAGGGACCAAGGACTCCCAGCCAAAAAGCACAGCGCGGCTGCGCACCTGCCGCCAGAAGCGCCAGGACAAACCCCACACAACGGCTTGGCGGCTCCGGCCCGCCCCCGCCACGCCCCCGCCTCCTACGCAAGGCCGCCCTCAGCCCCGCCCACGCCCCGCCCACTCGCGGTGAAGTGCTTGCTGAGCGTGGGATCCGCCCCTGACTGAGGCCCGCGCTTCTCACGGCGCAGACCTTGGTTACCGCCCGCTCTCCGACCACCAAGGTAACGAGAGACCCACGCGTGTTCCGAGACAGGATTCAGGGCAACGCGAGCCCGCGCTCCGGGCCTACCGCGCTGTGCAGCCGCGGACGCACAGCCCAAGCCGCGCGCTCTGCTAAGCGGGAGGCGGGACCACAGGGGGGCGCGCCGGGGGCGGGGCCCAGGAGACAGCTGAGCGGGCGGGGCCGCGTCACGTGGGTAAACAAGCTGCACGTGGAGCGGAGCCTGCGCGCCGGGGGCGGGGCCGGCTCGGAGTTCCGGTAGGGTGGCTGCGCACGCGGCAGCTGCTGGCTCCTGGAGGCCGCCGGAGCCGCGTGGGAGGCGACGGCCGGGTCCAGGGCCGGCTCATCCCCTTGTGCCTCGGTTCCACGGCCAGCGCTGACGTCGGGCTCATCTGTACCAGAGTTACACCCTATAATGAAGGAACCACAGTGGCTGAGTGATTAAGTGCTGGTTGACAGCAGAAACCTTGTTCGAACTCACCAGCCACTCTGCAGAAAAAAGATAATGGCAGTCAGCTTCCCCAAGGATTATGACTTTGGAAGACCTAGAGGAGTCCCGAGGGTGGTTAAGACGCTTGGTTGCTAACCAGATGACCCATCCGCCACCCCTGGCAGAAAGATGGAACCTCAGTTCTACCCCAGCCTGTAGTGTCACAATGATATGCAATCCACAGCAACAGGTTTGGTTTGGATTTTGGTAAATTCTGTGAGATGGTCATGATCCCATTTCACAGATGACAGAAGTGGAGCCCAGAACATAAGCTTGCCAAGTGGCTAAAAATTGTCAAAACTAGGTTCGACTGGCGTGACCTGGCTCCTGCTTGCATGGTACCTCAGAGGGTGGTGGTTTGTGAGCGTTGGGGTCGCATCCCTCCACTGGCGGCCTGCCGCTGACCACTGAGGTCCATACCCTGGTGGTACAGTGGTGCCATACTTGGATGCAAACCAAAAAGTGGGCAACTTGAACCCGTCAGCTGTGTCAGGGGAAAAAAGATATGGCAGTCAGGCCTGGTGGCAAGAAGCTGCCCTGCAATCCCGAAGTCACGTGGTTCAAGACCACCAGCAGCTCTGCGGGAGAAGAATGGACAATCTCCTCCCATGCAATTAACTGCCTCTGAAAACTGCCTCCAGCCCAGGCTGCAGAGCTGGTTGCTCGTGGGTATTGGTGGGCTTGGAGCAGCTGGAGGCAGGAGGCCTGAGGGTGCACAGGAGGAGCGCTCCTGGGCAGAGAGACAGAGCTGTCTTGACTGGAGGCCAGTGTGGCAGCATTTTCAGGCTGCAGTCCCCAGTAGCAGATCCCCCAGCCATAGGCGTATGTTAAGGATCCCTGGTGGTACAATGGTTAAGCACTTGAATGCAACCAGAAGATATTTTGAAGGAACAAAGACCCCTCACCCCTGGCCTCAGCGTGCCTCTCTGACTGCTAATACCATTTCCTGAACCGCCTAGGAAATCCTGCAGGCCGGTTCTACTTATCAGGCAGATCACTATCCGCTGGACTGTGCACATCAAGTGAGTTGGTTAATGAGTTATCTATTGGGAGCTCCAGTGATCTAGTCCATAGGGAGTTGTGCTGTTGCCCATAGGTGGCCTCAGTGGTGTTTCAAATCCACTGGTGACTCAGTGGGAGAAGGATGGGCTGTCTCCTTCAGAGCGATTTGCAGCCTCTGAAAACTTGCTGGAGGGTCAGCTGTGAGTCAGTTCTGACCCACTGGTAGTGAGTTCATGAATTTAAGCATTGCTGGAGAATTTAATGGCTTGGCCGGAGATGAAGCCTTAAGGACAGTGGCCTGCAAACTGTTGACAGGTGCTCACTTCTGTGGAATAGATAGTGTACCTGGCAACTATGCACTTTCCTGCTTTCCAGCCCCAAATCCCACATGTGACATAGTTCTCCCTGCATTATTTGCGTTTTTGGAAGACTGTGTAGAATCCTTTAGCCAGTCCCTTGCTCTAATGCAAGATTGTAGGATTGGCTTATTAAAATGTACTTTATTTCCACTGTTTTCAGAAAGGGACACATCAGGATGGTGCAACCCAGGCCTATGTTATGGCCCCAAAGCTGACCCCTCAGACCCTGTGTCCTCCCAGCCCACTGCTCCCTCCAGCCTCACATGCCTTTGTCTGCTAATACTCTACCTCAATCTCCCCACTCTAGAACCATGGCCTCACCGCCTCTGGCCTCCCTCTGCAGCGTGAAGTTGGTCTCATTATTCTATAATGGTTGGTCTCTTATTCTATAACAGGAGTGCACATCTGTGCTAAGTAGTCTTCCTAATGGGTCATTAAAGGCCCTGTGGCCAGTTAGGGGTTTGGGGATTAAAAAACTCAGGAGCCCCTAGGGCTTCTTGTCTTACTCTGCTACCTGCTCTTGGCAGGCACTGGTCATTAGCAGCCCATGGTCCCCACTTCCTGATGATCACCCCACCTGATGCTTTGCCCCAACCCTTAAGACCTTTGCCCTGGGCCATCTTGTGGCTAACAAGGTGGCCAGTCCTGGGTGACAGAAGAGGGCAGCTTTGCACCCTGGTCCATGGTTGGCAGGGGACCTTCCTAAGACCCAGGCAGCACAGATGCTCAGAGGAGCATGTGCTGAACCGCACGGCTGCTCCCACCAGCACACCAGAAGGGGTGCTTGGAACACACAGGAGCAGAGAGAGGTTGCTGCTGGGCGCAGACTGTGAGCCTTCCCAAACTCGCAGCCAGCACATCTGCCCAGAGAAAATGGGAGGCCTGGAATCACAGGCTTTGTTATTTTTACTTTTTGGTGTGAGGGGCCATCTGTGCAGGTTTGAGATTGTCTGGAGAAAGCTGGAATTTGTAGATGAGATTCAAATGTAGGCTTCCTTTCCAGGCTGTCATGCTGAGAATTTCTCCAGGAGCTGGGGAGACAGAGCTGTTATTTTTAGATCTGTGTCGTGTGCCGGGGTCCAGCAGCTGTCTAGGTTGGGAGTGCATGCAGGGCCTTCTACCAGCCTCATCAGCACCCCAGCAATAGTCTCTGCACTGAGTCCACCACAGGTATCACACGGGGCCTGGGCCAGCACCTGTGCCTGAAAGGAGGTGGTCTGGAAGGTAGAATGTCAGGAGAAGGGAGCACATTATCAGTGCCAGAGAGAAAGGCAAGGCAGGTTCTGACTCCTGCGTTGTTGACACTGGTTCCTCCCAAAAATGCTCACAAACCCCTTACCGTCAAGTCTCTTCTGATCCCTGGTGACCCCGTGTTCACAGAGCAGATCTGTGCTGGGCTCCACACGGCTTTCAAGCCGTTCCCTTTGAGAATGAGACCATCAGATCTGTCCATATGCCTCTGGGTACATTTGAACCACTTTTTGGTTAGTAACCAAGCATTTGACTGGACCCAGTCAGCATTGTTTGTTACATGTATTAACTCCAGCCTTGGGTTAAACTCCTGCTTTCAGCTGCAGGTCATCCCTAAGCACCCCTGCAGGGCAGTTCTCGAATTGTCTTGAGAAGTAGGTGGAGGTGGACAGTTGAACCCCCTTCCAGGATTTTCCCTTAAGTCAGATGCACCTGGTGGAGAAGGTGCTCTGACTCAGATGAGGGGCTGGGAAGGCCACCTGAACTCTGTATTGAAAGTTCTTTCTGCTCTCTCATTCACATTAGGTGAGAATCCTGAGTGGAGCAGGGAGGGGGCGTCTTCATTGAAAAGGCTGTGTACCTAGGCTAATGGAAATGTCTGGTGTGTACATTTTCCTGTCTCTTGCAGCAGAGAACACTGTACCTGGCTGAGTACTTTTCCTTAAGGGCCCAGTGTCAGCAGCGATGCAGAGCAGAGAGAAGGGTGTGAGTTTGTGGAAATGGGCAGATGTGTGGGAACCCGAGTGCCTTTTCTGGAGTGGAAGGGCGATGACACAGTGGGCATGACTTTCAGTCCTCACTGTTCCTTGGTTCACATACTCTTGTCAAACTTAAGCCAGATAATGAAATTCAGTGATACTGTGGGGGGAAAGAATCCATAGTTTATTGGGTTTTTAATGATTAGTTTTATTGCATTTTACACACACTTTTACAGAAAAAGCACAAATAGAAAACCACCAAAGTACTGAGACTGCTTATTGAAACAGTTAAATAATACCTGAAAATATTAAGTGTATCAGAAGTTGGATAGTCTGTTCTTTTTTTCTTTCTTCTTTCTTTCTTTCTTAAAAAAGAAGAAACCAAAACCCCTCCATAGGTGAAGAATATGATTTGAGGTAGATGCTCCTTCAGAGGCGAAGGTGGTGAAACTCTGTCTCACATACTTTGAGCACGTGGTAAGGAGGAACCAGCCATGGAAACAAGACATCATGTTAGAGAAAGAGAGGAGGCTCCTCAATGAAATGTGCTGGTACAGTGACTGCAAAGATGGGCTTGAGTGTGGGGAAGACTGGGGGGACAGGATATAGGGCAAGGTTCTGCTCTGTTGTTTGTGTGTTTGCTGTGAGTCATGCTTGACTCAATCTCAGCTCACAGTGGTAACAACAAGAAAGAGGAGCCCTCAGCTTACAAACCTTACCCCAAACAAAGCACACAGCCCCCCTCCCCCCACCGGCGAGTGCCCCATTAGATGACAGAGTGCGTATTCCTCTTTATACCAGTTTAGGAGAGGGCTGGGGGCACGTGAGTGGGCACTGCCAGGCAGGACTGCCGTTGCCTTTATGGAGCAGTCTGGGCTCACAAATGACAGAGAGGCCCAGCTGAGGGCTTCCAGGGCTCTGCTGGGCCCTGGGCTCGTGCTGGGGCTGCCTAGCTTGGGCAGACAGACCTTTTTCTTTCTTTTAAAGAGAAACAAAGGGATGAAATCATTAGCATCAATTGGGCACATTCAGCGTAGATTACTGGCGTGCCATTGTTAGGAGGATAAAAGAAATATAATTAATAAAACCCACCCAGCCCGCCTTTTGTGCTGCCCATGAATTCCTTATTGATGCCCGCATCTATCTCAGCCGGCAGAGGAGCCAGCCTTTTCAGCTGCCCCGGACATCAGGAAAATGAACAGTGCCGAAAATCACTCCCGGGATCTGCAGACTCATCTTTTCCAGCCATAGGTCGTCTTCCTTTTCTCATAGTAGGAGCAGCATTGGAGAGGTTTGCCCACAGTACAATGAAAGTGTCAGTCAAGAACAAAGCCCACCCCACAGAAGAGACTGGGGAGCATTGGGGGCAAGGTCCAGCCCATGCACATCCCCAGGGGGCTCCAGCCTTTGAGGGATGAGCCCTGCCTGTACTGGGCAAGGCTGAACCCAGCTGCCCTGGCATCACACCCACCCTGCTTCTGACCAAGCGATACACTTGGGGGGTTATATGCCACTCTGAACTCAGGTGTCTAGACTGAGGTAGGGGGACAGTTGAGCATGAATAGGTCCCCAGAAGGATCATGGTGAGGTATGGCCTCACACTGCCCCCA